TAACCTCAGCCTTATAAAAGTGCCTTGGTATCCATAATAATAGGAGGTAATGCTAAAGCAAAAAGAAACATCAGGATACAATGAGACGGGGTAAAAATAAAACCTGCCATAGTAGCACAAAAGAAATCTGTGATCTTTCCTTGTCTTTTTCATCTTCACTTTCAGGCTCATTCCCCAATGGAAGGGGAGAGACTCTTCAGTGTTCTAAACACAGCCCACAGATGAGGCAGTGCCCTCTTCTTCAGAGGTTGAAAGAAAGGTTAAAAGATCTCCAACTCACTAAATGTTGGAATGCTAGTGAACCCAGGAGAAAAACAAGTTTAATAATTATGTCTTACATCAGATTTGTTTAGACTTCAAACTAAGGCTTTCTTTGAAATCATGGGGCCGCCATTTCTTAACAAGTTACGCTAAAAATAAATCAAATACCTAAGCTGATTCATATTATAGTGTAAGCAGGAACAGGAATATACAATGGCATAGAAAAATAAAATACTCACTAAGTGGCAAAGTTTTTTGCCACCTTAGTACAGTTGGGAAAAGAATTCAGTAAACACAGAAAAGAAAATGGATCAAGTTAATGCTAGTTTATTATAAGGTAACTAATAGAATCTGGAAAAATATCAGCTTAACTATTTTTTTTAATTAACAGCAAGTTTAGCTAAAAACATGTAGAGGAAAATGAACCTGCTGATAGAAGTCAGGAGCTCTTCGTTCTACTTTTGACTCTTTTTCAAAGTATTCATGTAACTTAACCTTCTTTGTTAAATCACTTAACTTGTTCTGTACCTTAATTTTCATCTGTAAAATGTTGATATACTGAAACATCTAAAGTATTTTTTAATTTACCAGTTTTGGAGGACAGAAGACAGGGAGGTAGAGAACTTTAGGAGGAGCAAGCCCAGTCTCCTTTCTATCTATATATATAAATGGCTTTGTCTGTCTGTGTGTGCATCTGTCTGTCCATAATGCTCTTGGGGCGCATGGCTCCAGCCAGTGCTGCAGCAAGAATAACAGGCGGGGCCAGATAGATGTGAAGCGGGGGGTGGCACAGGGCTGGATGCAGAGTGTGGTCGGGGGTGGCATGGGGCCAGATGCAAAGCAGCAGCAGCATCTGGGGCATGGGTGGCGGTGGCAGCGGCAGCTGCATGCAAGCTTCCCTCCCGCTCCTGAGAGGCAGCAATGGCACGGAGTAGTGGGTGGCGATGCTCCGTCTCCGCTCACCCCCCCCCCCCCAACATTCTTGATGGGCAATTTGCTACTTATGTAATAATTGACAACTACAGGCCATTATCCTAAATCTGATTATGCAGGGATGGACTGCCCCAGCTATATACCGACATAGATCACAGTGAAGTATCACGGTTTTAGAAAAACAGCAAAGCCGTAGCTTTGACTAAATGTGTTCTAGGAGGAAATCACAATGTTCAAACCTTCATAAAAATCAAAATATTGAATGTAGGTAACAATGGTATGCTCAATGACCTAGAAGATGGCATAGAGTGAACCCTCAGCAAGTTTGCAGATGACACCAAGCTAGGGGAGTAGTAGATTCACTGGAGGGTAAGGCTAGGATTCAGAGTGACCTAGACAAATTGAAGGATTGGACCAAAAGGAATCTCATGAGGTTCAACAAGGACAAGAGGAAAATCCTGCACTTAGGATGGAACATTCCCATGTACCATACAGCTTTGGGGCTGACTGGCTGGGCAGCAGCTCTACAGAAAAAGACCCGGGGGTCACAGTGCACAGTAAACTGAATATGAGCCAGCAGTGTGCCTTTGCTGCCAAGAAGGCTAACAGCATACTAGGCAAGAGGGGATTTAATAGTAACCTTCAACTACTTGAAGGGGATTTCAAAAGAGGATGAAGCTAGACTGTTTGCAGTGGTGGCAGATGACAGAACAAGGTGCAACAGCCTCAAGTTGCCGCAAGGGAAGTTTAGGTTAGATATTACGAAGAATTTTCTCACTGGCAGGGTAGTAAAACACTGGAACATGTTACCCAGAGAGGTGGTGCAATCTCCATCATTGGAAGTTTTCAAGACCCTGCTAGACAAAGCTTTGGCTGGGATGATCTGGTTGGGGATGATCTTGCTTTGAGCAGGGGGTTGGACTAGATGACCTCCTGAGGGCCCTTCCAATCCTAATTTTCTATGATTCTATAAGGTAACTATATCTTCTTAAATCAAGACACGTTAGAATTCATAACTAGCAATTTTTTTTGAAGCAATGTGATTTTTGAAAACATTTTTTCAAGAACCTGGCTATCAAAAGAAAAAAAAAAAATCACAGGAACTCAGCTGTGCCCCAGTGCCAAAATGTAATGTAACTGATCTGCAGTATCTTTGAGGTTGTTGAATTCTGTGCATTCTAATTAAGTCTTCCTTTCTCATATGATGTCAACATATTTTAATGCTGCATCAGGTTAATTTACTTCTTTTAGAACATGAGACTGCTAAAATTATAAGTGAATTTAAACATCAGGAATACGTCACTCAATCTGCCTTGAAAAAGTATCTTAACTGTGATTTAGCCAAGGCTTTTCTTCATTGCAGAAAAAGGCATTTCTTGTTTTTAGCAGGATCAATTAATACATGTTAGCCAACCAGCTGTATACTCCTAGTGCAGGCAAACCACCTGTAGTTTTTACTGTGAGGTATTTAGGTGAAGTCAATATTATATGCTCATCCATGCTGATCTGACACAGTTTACTTTATGGTAACACTACAGACTCTTGTTTCAACGTGTTTTTACACAAGAGTTCCTCACCCACACTAGTCAGCCCACAGCAAATGTACATCATTTTTGGCAGTGAAGGCAAAACCTGAATCGGAGAGACAAGAGGTGACTTAAGTGTGCCAAGTGTTGGGAGAGGCAGACACTTCAGCACCCTTTCTTCATCTTCTGTCCTCCAAAATGGTCATACTAGTAAACAGTAAATGGGTGGTGGGGGGGGAAGAAGGGAGGGAGGAAGGGGCAGAATCTTACCTACTAGAAAGTCTGTTTCTAACTAGAACTCATATTGTATACACCAGTGATGTTGCAGATGAAGGATCAGACCCATCTTTCCATCGAATCCCACTAGTAATTTGCATTACCTTTGAGTCAAACATCTTAGAGTGCACAGCAACATAAGCTGATATTCGTTTTATAAATGTCACAGCAGCAATCCAGATGCACAATTCCTGGTTGTATGCTCCAGTCTGAGGTAGCATAAACTGTGAAGATGATTATTTGTATTGGCGTAGGTGATTTGGGATGGGGAAAGGAGCATAATAAGAAGCAGAAGGTAAAGCCTTTATTTTAGTGATCAAAGAGGGAAGCATTTGTAGGTGGGAAAATAAAGATGCAAATTGAATGGACACCAGAGAATAAGATAAGATCAAAATGAAGACAATAGTGGTGAGCAAAGGCATAGCAGGGCAATTCTCTGTCTTTGGCAGAGGTGGCACATGGAGCAGTAGCAGCTTCTGGGATGCCAATGGCAGCTATTTGTGCCACTGTCCCCCGCTCTTATCCTGGTGGCCCCATTTAGTTATTTTACTGTTGATAAGTATGGGTACATCTAAATGAAAAATTTGGTAGGTAGGAAAGGAACACAGATATAACTGGGAAGAGCAATTGAGCTAACCAGAAAGGGGAAATTAGAAAGAATAAAGAAAGAAGAAAATAAATGAGTGAATGAGTGAAACAGAAGAAAAGAAAAAAGTAGACACTTTATCCAGCCAGAAACACCATATTTTGACTATCACAGACAATCAGGAATGCCTCAGGAAAAGCCAGTTCAGGCACTGGGAAGTGGTGGAACTACAGGGAAGACCTCAATCAACCAACACAAACAAATACTTTTTAGAGTGAAATTAAGAGGATGACAGGGAAGAGAGCCTTACTTTCTTATGTATCAAAAACATTTAAATGTAAAAAGGGAAGCCCATAGCACCTACAACTGAATGTGGAGGTTCTAACTACTGAGTAGAGTACATTCTCCTTTTAAATCTTGTCTTCCACTCTCTTACCCTTTTTCACATTTTTTGTAACAGTTTCACCCTATCAAAAAGGCTTTTGCCTCCAGCCTCTAAAAGGAGGTCTAGAAGCCTCTACAGAACACTGCCCTGCCATTAAAAAGATCTTTATTTCAAATATATCTGTACTGCTGTACCATTACCCAGCAGGAATTGAAATACATCCATTTTTTTCCATCTGAAAAATCAAATAACTAATTTCAGAATACATTTTTATCCTTTAGAATGAGAGGTTTCTACTTGTTCCAGTTGTCTCACAGTTATACTTCCAGTTTCTACAGAAATTACCCCAGATATTTAGAATCTCCCTGGTAGAAGACGTCAAAATTTTTCTAAATGCAACCCACTGTAACAAATCTTTTGTGTGTCCACCCTAATCTCTGGTCTATTTTAGATACTATTTATATTATTTTAAATAAAAATACATGTCTATTTTATCTTGATTCAACCCACTGATTCACCTTATTCAAGTATCTTAACTAGAGAGTTAAACTGAATCACTTATTACAAACGTTTTTAGGCTCCAGTGCAGGACAGGAATTCAAAGCATGCATATGAGTATTTGATGGTGTTAATTTCTGGCTACACAAAAATGATCAGCTTCCCTGAACAAGTCTACAGCTGTCTCCTCAGAAAGAAAACAAGATACACAAATAATTAAAAATTGGATATCTCCAATTTATCTCTCTTGTAAGTGGAGCTAAGGACCTAATTTTAAGCACTTTAATACATGTCAACTGATTTTTTTTGAAATGGTAAGTATTAAAAACAATACAAACATAAAAATACCAATGGACACTGTATTTTTAGGTACAATTGCATATCATATTTCTTTTAATTTTTACACGCAACTTATTTTATCTGGTATAGATTTCATTTAATAACTATGGAAACCAATTACTACATTCCTCACACATCAGCACAAAAGATAAAAAGGTACTGCACCGGTGTACTAGTAAAACACAACATGTCCTACCTTGGAAAAGAGAAGGTCTTTTCTTAGGACGTCTGGGGTGTATAGGCTCTAAATTCTTAATATTTCTTTGAAACCTTCCTTTAAGGTCATTTCCCGGGAGCAGGTCTGGTGGTAAGCTACTCCGTCTGACTGATTTATAATCATTCTGATATGAATTCAGTTTACTCTTAGTCCTAGAGTATAAATTGCTGTCATCGACTGCCATTACAGTAGACTCATTTGTAAAGCTACCCTAATGTAAACCCAAGCAGTAAAAATCTGAAAATCCAAAGACTTATGTAACTGGTGGTCACAGTCCCAAGCAAGTTCTGATGTTCTCATGCTTAAGTCTGCACTTGTTTGGTAAGTTTAGTAAGTTGATAGGTGTGGGCTCAACCAGGTGTAGAATTACTACATAACCCTTCCTTTTAACAGTTAAATCGCACACAGGAGGAGGTACACGGAAATCATTAGGCTAAAAGTTTTTGGATGACTGGAAAGTTTTAACAAACATGAACTCACCAGCTCATGATGCATAAAGGGAAAAACAAAACTGCTTAATGGTAGCTGCTTTACAGGACACTGTATTTCATGTTTCACCAACAGTATTTCTCACTTCATTTCACTAACACTTCCCTAGCAGTACTTGTTTAACTTGGCATGCCCACTGTAAGAGGGAGAGATCCTCCAAGCTATTTGTCTGGGGAAAAAAAAATCTGACCAGTATATTTGGGTTCTTATCTGAGGCCTGGGTCCTTCTGTAGATTAAATATAACTGGCTTGTAAGAAGTAGAACACATTTTGAGAAAAATATTCAAGATATTTTTGTGCCTAAATTTTGCACTGTGCTTTATTTTTGTTCTCAGAACCACTGACTTGTCTTAACAAGGGTTTCTCCAAAGCGTTATCTCTATTAAGATAATTAATACATCATTCCTACATACACATGTACACACACACTCCTCCAATTCCATCACTTTTTAAAATAACTGCAGACATATTAAAGGTGCTGGGAAGAAACAGTAATAATTGTATTTCTTCACTATAACATGGGAAGCCTATAAAATGTGGCAGCCTAATTGCTGGTTAGGTAACTGTTTCAATATACACTGGACATACATAACATCTGTACAGACAGAAAGATCTGAACTTTTACAACAAGCAAAAGTTAGGATACTAATTAGAAGTACAGTCATCTTCCTTGTCTGTCTTTGCCACTACCAGTAAAATCCACTGAGATTTACATAGTTCTTTCTAACACATCATTTTGCTGTCTCTGACTTCCAACAAGACAATTTTAATTTTGATTTAAATCAGCTGAGAGGCAACCTTAATTTACTTAAGTGATTTTAATCTGTTTTTGCATTTGAACTTTTTAAGCTATTTTTCTAAAGACAAGATGCATGCTTAATATCTAGAATTACCTGGATAGACTGGAAAAATGGTCCACAGTCAATCAGATGATATTCAGCAAAGACAAGTGCAAAATCCAGCACTGGAATAATTGCATGCAGATGCAAATAAATACAGAATGGGGAATGAGTGGCAGTACTGCAGAGAAGGACCTGGGGGTTACAGTAGACCGTAAACTGATTATGAGCCAAAAGCATGTTCTTGTGGCATAGATGATCATATTTGCTTGTATTAACGGGAATGTTCCTTGCAAATCAAGGAAAGTGATTCTTCTTTTATGTTTAGCACTAGTAATGCCTCATGTGGAATACTGCATGCAGTTTTGAGGCCTACACTTCAAGGATGTGGAGAGTTTGCAAAAAGTCCAGTGAAGAGCAAAAAATCTCTATACAGTTCACACTTTGATCCACCTAACTAGTGTAAGGTGAACTAAGTTAGATCAGGTTGTCATTTTTAATGTGATCTAACCTACCCCTAACCTCCCTGAAAGTCTGTACCTAGCCTGTGGGTGGCTTCTCTCTACCCTTCTTTGATTTAGCAGGTGAAAAGCATGGTATTTTGGCATCTGTGACGATGCTGCATGAACCGATTTTATAGCAATATTATGATGGCCCTCAGAGGATGGCAGTCTTCATCCGCAAAGTATTTGAGGGTCGAGTTCTCTTCCCATATTTTCATCAGATGCTGGAGAATGAAGGCATTGCTTGCAATGAACATAACTGTGAAAATACTTTGAAAATGAGAGAGCCCATGAGACATATGACAAAGTTCCCATCTAACACAGGAGCAACACAATACCTTACTTCTTCACACATTAACATCTATGTTCTGTAAGGTAAAAAAAGAATTTGGTCGAAGTTATGAGTCAAGAACATCCTTTTGTCAAGTGTTCTAACCAGATCTAAGAAAATAGCCTTCTATTATTTGTTAACCCCAATTTTCTTGTAGAAGAATTCTATCTATGCAACCCTCACAGAAAGAGGGGATGGAAACCACCAAAAGACCTCGTTAAACTAGCATGAGCAATACAGAATGCTTGAATAGAGCAGTCAAAAGTCTGAGGGCAAAGGAACCAGTGAGATTGTGAAAAAATATTGTGGTAAAAAATAGCAATACACAGACTGGCCAGAAAAGAGGTCTCTCACCTTGCAAATTGGCCAACGGTGTACCTTTTGCATATGAACATTCAGTTAATGAATTGCAAAATGATGTATACTAAATGGGCATGCATATCTGAAACAAAATGACAAAGGGTCTGAGCATGCACAATAGCCAAGTGTACCAGTGTACATGTTTGTTTCAGCCTAGCTCTGCATCCATTTAGACACAATACTGAATTTCATGAAGCATACACACACAGCATTCAAACTAAAAGACAGCTGGAGCATATAAATATTCTAATTATTGAATCAGGGTCTAATCAGCTAGCTGAATAGAGCAGCCTGATAGCTAGGCTGGCAACAGAAGAGAAGACTGGAGCTAGCTGCATGATTACAGCCTACTGGCATGGAAGATAGAGATTTTTCCTTGAGGCAGATCCTGGATCCGGTGTGTGGTGTTTGATCTTTGATTAGGTAAACTAAACTGAGGGAAGTCAATTTTCTGCTGAAATGTCATGGTCATGTAACAGCAGGCACTAGGGAATGGCAACATATCAAAAATAAAAAAGTATTAGTACTCCAGAAATGCTGCTAAGACAGTGTCAGTTGCCACAGCAAAAGCACCATTTTTTTTTGCAATACTAGCCAGAGCAACGAACTTACAAAATGCAAAGAACTGAGAACCAGAGAGAGTGAAATTGCACATAAGAGTATGCCAATTACTAGGTAAAGACTTGTCACTTGAAGATTTAATAAAGATTTAGAGAATACAATTTGTTCAAAATATATTTACATAGTAATTTATAAATACAAATATGATATTTGGAATGAAAAAAAGGACAATTGGCTTTAAAAGGATCTTGTCTAGAAATAAAGATACTTTCAGTTCTTGTTTTCAAAGTTTTGCAGACAATGCAACTGGATCAATTTTGAAACTTCTCCTTTAAAGATAATCACATTGGCCAAGTATATAATGCAAACTGGAGAGATTATTGGGAGAAATATTTGATAAAAGAGAATTATTTGATTATTGAATTGTTTCCCAACATTAATGCATTGCCTACAGCAATAATGCCTTATTCATTCAACAGATATAACAATTTAAAACATCACTTGTGCTATAATTCATTTGAAATATATTGAAACTGCAGAGCACAGATGTACCTTTGAGGGGGAAAATACTGGACTAGAAAACAATCCCATGCACTGGTACCAATTGACTAAACAGCAG